TGATGGCAGGCCACGTCCCTGCAGGGGCGCTGCCACCGCAGGCTGTGGTTCAGGGGGGGACGCTGCGCTTCGGCGCTGTCGAGCCTGCCAACACGGGGCACTACGAGTGCCAGGCAAGGAGCAGCGCTGGGCAGCACACGGCACGTGCCTTCCTCCATGTGCAAGGTGAGTGACATCATCATTGTCCCCATCACCCCACTGTCCCTTTCATCCCCATCATCTTCATCATCAGTCACCCCATTTTCCTCATCATCCCCATCCCCACCATTTCCATCATCCCTGGCACCTGATCATTCCCATCACTGCTGTCATGTCCATCACCCCCATTGTCCCCACCTCCCCACTGCCCCTGCCCTGACCCCCTCCTCGCAGACGCGGGCACCCCCCAGGTGCAGGTGAGCCCGGAGCGGACAGAGGTGCAGGAGGGCTCCACGGTGCGGCTCTACTGCCGGGTCTCGGGGTCCCCCACTGCCACCATCACCTGGGAGAAGCAGGGGGGTGCTCTGCCACCACAGGTGAGCAGGGTGCTGGCACCTGTGGGTGCTCCATGGGGTGTGGGTGTGTGCCACAGGTGCCACTAACACCCACTCTTGTGCCGCAGTCCCGCACCGAGCACGGTGACATTGCCACGCTCGTCATCCCTGCTGTGACGGCAGCTGATGGCGGCATCTACATCTGCATGGGCACCAGTGCTGCTGGCACAGCCCGTGCCACTATCGAGGTGGCTGTGGTGCCAGGTGAGGAGGCTGGGGGACACCAGAGGAGTCTGGGGTTGATTTTGGTGGGGGGACCCCCCATCATGTCACCCCTTTCGTCTCCAGGGGTGACGCTGCCTGTCCGCATTGAGTCCTCGTCCCCATCCGTCATCGAGGGACAGACCCTGGACCTGGACTGTGTGGTGGCAGGACCCAGCTCTGCCACCGTGACGTGGTACAAGCGTGGGGGCTCGCTGCCTGCTGGCCACCAGGTAGGGCACAGCAGGGTGGGCCCCAAATGCTGCCCTGTTCCCTGCTGTGTGACACCAAAGCATGTCCCCAACTGCAGGTTTCAGGGTCCCGGCTTCACGTCCCCCGCATCACGGCAGCTGATTCAGGGGAGTACGTGTGCCGGGCAAGCTTGGGGACCACTGTCCGGGAGGCATCTGTCATTGTCACCGTCATGGCTGCATCAGGCTCATCCTATGGTGAGACTGGGCTCTGGAGGGAACGGGCGGTCCCCAACAGACGGTCACAGCTCTGTGCTCCTCTGCAGGACCACCAACTTCAGGTGTCCCTGTCCGCATCGAGGCATCCTCATCCACCGTGGCCGAGGGACAGACCCTGGAGCTGAACTGCATCGTGGCCGGGCAGGGACAGGCCACTGTCACCTGGTACAAGCGTGGGGGGTCCCTCCCAGCCAAGCACCAGGTAGGGCACGCAGAGGGTGATGATGCAAAGTGTGGCTGGGGTTGATGCACAGCCCTGTGCGAGCCCAGGTGGCTCTGGTGACCCTTGTGTCCCCTCTCCGCAGGTGTCGGGCTCCCGGCTGCGGCTGCTGCAGGTGACAACGGCCGACTCGGGCGAGTACGTGTGCAGGGTGACCAGTGGGGCCACCTCCAAGGAGAGTGCAGTCATGGTGACCATCCAGCCCAGCAGTGCCAGTGCCTACTGTGAGTGGGGACAGGGGATGGCAGCACCAGGGCGTCCTCGTGTCATAGCCCTGAGCCAGAGCTCAGGTGCCCATGCTGGTGAGGTCCTGCTGTGGTCACTGCTGTCACTCTCCTGTCTCGGTCCCCAGCCCCGGGCAACACGACTCCCCTGCGCATCGACTCCCCGTCCTCTGCTGTGGTTGAGGGACAGATCCTGGACCTAAACTGTGTCATTGCCAGCCCTGCACAGGCCACTGTCACCTGGTACAAGCGTGGGGGAACCCTCCCAGCCAAGCACCAGGTAGGGGACATGGAGAGGGGATGTCACCAAGCAGGGTGGATACAGCTGACCAGCAGCTCTGGGCAAGCCCAGATGACCTGTGCAGATGCAGGTGGCCCCATGGAAGCCCAAGTGTCCCCAGTAACCCCCATGTCCCCTCCCCACAGGTGTCGGGCTCCCGGCTGCGGCTGCTGCAGGTGACAGCGGCCGATTCGGGCGAGTACGTGTGCCGGGTGACCAGCGGGGCCACCTCCAAGGAAACCTCCATCATGGTGGCCGTCCAGCCCAGCAGCGCCGGTGCCTACTGTGAGTGGGGACAGGTTACCCAGGGGGTGTGACACATGGGGTGTGACACTGTTCCCAGTGTCCCTGGGAGGGTCACACACATGGTGGTGGTTGGTCTCTAACCCATCTTGGTCCCCAGCCCCAGGCAGCACAACCCCTCTGCGTATCGAGTCCTCGTCCCTGTCATCCCCCGTGACCGAGGGACAGACCCTGGACCTCAACTGTGTCATTGCCAGCCCTGCACAGGCCACTGTCACCTGGTACAAGCGCGGGGGGACCCTCCCAGCCAAGCACCAGGTAGGGGACACGGAGCGGGGATGTCACCGAGCGGGGAGGATGGGGATGACACAGCTCTGGGGGAGACCACGTGGCCATCCAAGTCCTGGAGACCCCACGCAAGGTTGGCTGGTCCTGGGCAGGCGCAGGTGGCCCCATGACTACGGAAGCCTGAGTGACCTCATCAAGTGACCCCAAGGAAGCCCAAATAACCCCATATAAGCTCAGGTGGCCCATGCAAGCCCAAAGTGGCCCTGTGCAAGCTTAAGTGGCCTTGTGCAATCCCAGATGACCCCTTGCCAGGGCTGATGGCCCCCGTGACCCCTCTGTCCCCTCCCCACAGGTGTCGGGCTCCCGGCTGCGGCTGCTGCAGGTGACAGCGGCTGATTCGGGCGAGTACGTGTGCCGGGTGACCAGTGAGGCCACCACCAAGGAGATCTCCGTCATGGTGACCATCCAGCCCAGCAGTGCCAGCAGCTACCGTGAGTGGGGACAGGAGGAGGTGACTGAGGGCTGGGGGACAGTGCTGCCGTCCTTGGGGTGGACCCTCCTGTCTCTGTCTCCAGCTGTTGGTGTCACCCCTCCGGTGCGCATTGAGTCCTCGTCCTCCTCCGTGGCCGAGGGACAGACCCTGGACCTCAACTGCATCGTGGCCGGGCAGGGACAGGCCACTGTCAGCTGGTACAAGCGTGGGGGGTCCCTCCCAGCCAAGCACCAGGTGGGGGACACTGAGGAGCATTTTGGGGTGGAAAAGGGACTTTGGTGGTGTTGGGTTTATGTCCCCATTCTCATGTGTCACCCCTCCAGGTGTCGGGCACGCGCCTGCGCATCCCCCAGGTGACAGCAGCCGATTCAGGGGAGTACGTGTGCCGAGTGACATCAGGCAGTGTCACACATGAGACCTCCCTCATCATCACCATCCAGACTGGCGCTGGCTCCTCTTACGGTACCGGGGTTGGGTGAGAGGTGACACAGGGACATGGTGAGGACACAGTGGTGACCCCATGGACCCTATTGTCACCCCCCAGCTGTCGGTGTCACACCACCAGTGAGGATCGAGACCTCCTCCGCTGCTATTAGCGAGGGACAGACGCTGGAACTCAACTGCATGGTGGCAGGACAGGGTCACCCCCATGTCACCTGGTACCGGCGCAATGGGGCTCTGCCACCAAACAGCCAGGTGGGACATGGGGTGGTGGCTTTGCCCAGCAGGCCACAACCCTGAATCAGGTACTTATGTGTCCCCAACTTGTCGTGTCCCCAGGTGTCTGGGACCCGCCTGCGCCTTGCCAAAGTGGCAGTGGCCGATTCAGGGGAGTATGTGTGCCGGGTGACCCTGGGGACCGTCACCCAGGAGGCGTCTGTCATTGTCACCGTGCCCAGCAGTGCTGACACCTATTACAGTGAGTGTGAGAGAGGGCAGCGCTTGGGGACTGTTTGGTGTCACCTTGGTGATAAACGTTCCCTTTCCCTGTTCTCCCCCAGCCTCTGGCATTTCCCAGCCCCTCCGCATCGAGTCCTTGTCCTCGGCCATCGCCGAGGGACAGACCCTGGACCTCAACTGCGTGGTGGCAGGGTCTGGCCCCACCACCGTGACGTGGTACAAGCGTGGTGGCTCCCTGCCCGTTGGCCACCAGGTAGGAGACAGGGGAGGCTCACAATTCATGTGAATTTGTCCCTTCCCCTGCTCTACGGTGCTGATTTGTCCCCCAATTCCTCCCTCAGGTGTCGGGCACCCGCCTGCGCATCCCCCAGGTGACAGCAGCCGATTCAGGGGAGTACGTGTGCCGGGTGACATCAGGTGGTGTCACACAGGAGACGTCCCTCATTGTCACCATTGATGATGGAGACAACCCATCCCACTGTGAGTGCCACCCTCCAGGGGACAGGCTCCCACTGGTGTCAGGGACCACTGGGGCCATTCACCCTCAACCCTGCCCCTGCAGCCACCGGCATCACGCCACCCATCCGCATTGAGTCCTCAGCGTCCTCTGTCACCGAGGGACAGACTCTGGACCTGGACTGCGTGGTGGCTGGCCAGGGACAGGCCATCATCACCTGGTACAAGCGCGGTGGGGCCCTCCCAGCCAAGCACCAGGTGAGTGGGGACACGGATGGGGTGGGGGATGGTGGTTGCTGTGCATGGCTGAGTGATGCCACCACCTTCTGTTACGATGTCCCCAGATTTCGGGGTCCCGGCTGCGGCTGTCACAGCTCTCGGTGGCTGACTCGGGAGAGTACGTGTGCCGGGCTGACACAAGCAGCGGGTCCCGCGAGGCCGCTGTGTCTGTCACTGTCACCTCCCGTGACAGCTCCAGCTACCGTGAGTGCAGCCACAGGGGGAGGGAGGATGTTGAGGGGAAATGGGTGATGTGAGTGATCTCGTGGCCTCTCTGTCCTTTTGTCCCCACAGGTCTGCAGAGCCCCATCATCTCCATCGACCCACACAGCATGGCAGTGGCACCAGGAGAAGATGCCACCTTCAAGTGCCGCATCCACGATGGCGCCCGGCCTGTCAACATCACTTGGCGCATGGGGCCTGGCCAACACTTCCAAGGTATGGCAGTCTCCAGGGTGGCCCTGGCATGGCCCCCAGGGTGGCCCTGGTGCTGATGGCTCCTCCTTGCCCAGACAATGTGAAGATCAGTGCCAATGGCTCAGTCATCTCCATCACCAGTGCCCATGTGGGCAACCAGGGCGCCTACCACTGCGTGGCCTCCAACCGCTTCGGCATTGCCAGCAGCGTCGTCAACCTCATGGTGCAAGGTATGAGGTGGCCAGGGCTGTCCTGTCACTGTCTCCATGTGCTCCAAGTGTCCCCAGGGCACTGGTGTTCCCATCCCCATGTCCTCCATATGCTCCAGGTGCAATGTCCCCATCCCCATGCAGATGTCCTCCACGGGCTTCAGAGATGTTGAGATGTTGTGTCCCCATCCATACACACATGCTCATTTCCTCCTGCGCTCCCAATGCTCCCAGGGTGATGGGTGCCCCTATGGCACCTTCCAGGTGCCCTTCATGGTGGTGTCCCTATCCCCACCCCAATGCCCTCCTCCTTCTCCAGGTGCCCCTGTGGTGTCAGTGATGCCACCAGGCCCTGTGACAGTGAAGGAGGGCAAATCCCTGAGCCTGGAGTGCCTGGGCCGGGGTGAGCCACGGCCACTGGTACGTTGGAGCCGGCTGGGCTCCCGGCAGAAGGTGGAGCACCAGACGCTGCTGCACATGGACAGCCAGGCCATCCTGCAGGTGAGGGGGCACCCAGGGGCACCATGGGGCACCATGGGGCACCGGACAGTGCCGGGTGCTCACCCCACCCTGTCCCCCCCAGCTCTCCCCAGCCAAGCCGGAGCACGCCGGGACCTACGTGTGCACGGCACACAGCGCGCTGGGCTCGGCGCAGGCGCGGGTGGATGTCACAGTGGAGTCAGCGCAGCGGCACCCTGGGGCCCCCGAGGTCACCGCTCCATCTACTGTCACCGTGGTGGCCGGGGACACTGCCACGCTGCACTGCATGGCCAGAGGTATGGGGAGCCTGGAGGACGGTGCTGGAGAAGGGATGTCCTCAGCAGTACGTGACACCGTGGTGCGGTCCTAGGTGACCCAGTGCCCCGGATCGAGTGGTCCAAGCTGCGGGCACCCCTGCCCTGGCAGCACCGCGTGGTGAACGGCAGCCTGGTTATCCCTCGTGCCGCGCAGCAGGACTCGGGCCAGTACATCTGCAACGCCACCAGCCCTGTCGGTTCCACCGAAGTCTTCGTCACCCTCGATGTGGAGAGTAAGAAGGGGACATCAGGGGGTTGTGGTGCCCCTGGGTTCCTGCTGCCACCTCCACTGTGGCCATCACCCATCCTTCCTCTGCATGTGGCCACCTCTATCGCCACTTCCACCCTTACACCCAGCTCTTCCTCACGGGACCATCTTCGCTCCATTGCAGCACCCATCCTCCTCTCTCATGCTCCTGTCAAACTCCATCACCAGCCCTTCCCGTGGGTGTGTCCACCTGCTTGTCCCATCCCTGTGCACATCTCTCTCCATCTCTGCTCTCTTATCTATCCATCTATCCGTTCACTGTGGATCCATCCCCGGCTCATCCATCCCAGCTCAAACCCATCTCTCCATGTCTGCTCATATCTCTCCTTCCCTCTCTTCCTCATGGCTCCATCCAACTCTCATCCATCCCAACACACACCCATCTCCACCAACCCCCACACCCCTCACCAGCACCTTCCTTGCCCCACTGACCCGTTCCTGGCCCCATCGTGGCTGAGGGTTCCACCCATCCCGCAGCACCTCCTTATGCCACCATCGTGCCAGAGGACACAGCGGTGCAGGCGGGTGGCACGCTGCAGGTGCAGTGCCTGGCCCACGGCACCCCCCCGCTGCACTACACCTGGGACAAGGTGAACGGCAGCCTCTCGACACGCGTGGCCCACCGTGCTGGCCTCCTCCGCCTCGGCCCCGCGGCCCCTGCTGACACCGGCACCTACCGCTGCCTCGTCACCAACCGCATCGGCACCGCCGAGGCCTTTGCCCGTGTGGCTGTTCATGGTGAGCCCAGCCCTGGCCTGGGTGCCATTGGTGCTCCACACTGGGTGCTGGCAGCGCTGCCGGCTGCCCTCGGAGCTCTGCATCCTGCCCAAGCAGTCCTGGTGCTGAGGGGCACTGCTGGGGCTCCACATCCCACCTGGGTGGTGCTGCTGGGTCTAAATCCCACCCTGCTTGTCCTGGTGTTGCTGGGTACCACCGGGGCTCTGCATCCCACAGGGGTGATGCAAGTGCCTCTGGGTACCACCGGGGCTCTGCATCCCTTCCAGGTGATGCTGGTGAAGGTGGGGACGTTGCTGGCGGTCCTTTGGTGGTGCGGGTGACACCAGAGAGCCTCGTCAAGGGGGTGGGTGGCACTGCCGAATTCACCTGCTCTGTCTCCGGGGACCCCCGTGCCCATGTGGAGTGGCTGAAGGAAGGTGGGGAGCTGCCCCCCACGCACAGCATGCGGGACGGGGTGCTCCGGTAAGGAACACGGGACAGGGAGGTGGGACCCCCACACTGGTCCCCCATGGGGTCCCTCACCCTGGCTGTGTCCCTGCAGGATGCCAGAGCTGGCCTCGGGGGCACAAGGCGTGTACGTGTGCCGGGCCACTGCCCCAGGAAGGCAGGCAGAGGACAGAGCCACCCTCACTGTCCAGGGTAGGAGCATCACCCTGGCACCAGGGCACACCCCCAACCCCCTGAGCTGTCCCCCACCACCAAGGGCACCCTGGGGCCCTCATGTCCTGCCATCAAGGGGCACCCCAGCACCTTCCATTCCCCTACACACACAGGCACCTTGATACCCCCCAATGACCATTGTGACCCCAAATCTCTTTTCAAGCCTGCAGGCACCCCAGTACCCCCAACCCTTCCCCATGCCTGTGGACACCCTGACACAATCGGTCTCCACACTCACAGACACTCCAGTGCCCCCTGTCTCTTCCCACACCCGTGACCACCCTGGTACCCCCCGTGTCTCCCCATGCTCACAAGGACTCCCAACACCTCTGACCTCTCCCCATTCCCGCAGCCACCCCAATTGTTCCACATCCCCTCAGGAACCCCATTTCTCCCCGTCTCCTTCTCTGGTGCCAGGCCTCAATGCCTCCCTGTACCAGGGGTTCACCCCAAATCCCCACTGTCCCCCAAGCTCTCCCCAGGGCCCTGATCAACATCCGGACCGCGGTGCAGACGGTGCTGGCAGGGACAACAGTGGAGCTGGAGTGCCTGGGCTTGGGGGAACCCCGTCCCCATGTCACCTGGAGCAAGGTGGGGGGTCGCATCCGCCCCGGGGTGCTGATCCGCGCTGGCACCCTCACCATCGAGCAGGTGGAGCGGGCGGATGCTGGGCAGTACCGCTGCACCGCCACCAACGCCGTGGGCACTGTCCAGTCCCACGTCATCCTCCACGTGCAAGGTGAGCACAGGGATGCACAGCTGGGGACACACGCTGTGTCACTGCCAGGTGGTGACGCTTTTGTGTGTCCCCAGCTGCTCCTCAAATCGCTGGGCAGCCAGAGGTGAAGGAGGTGTCCCTTGGATCAGCAGCTGTTTTGCCGTGCTTGGCATCTGGCTTCCCGGTGCCAGAGATCACCTGGAGCAAGGTGTGCTGGAGGGGTGGAGGGTGGTGGTGGGCAGGGTTGTGGGGGCTGCTTGTGGGTGCTGACTCCCCTCTGCTGTGGCACAGCTGGAGGGGGAGCTGCCGGCAGGTGCCAGGGTGCAGGGGAACGTGCTGACACTGCCAGCTGTGCGCCCCGAGGATGCCGGCGTCTACACCTGCGTGGCCTCCAACCACCGCGGCCAGCAGACAGCTTACTACGTGCTGAAGGTCCAAGGTGAGGACAGACAGAGGGACAGATGGATGGATGGGAGTGGGGGTGGCATGCCCTGCCCCTCCTCACCTCCCCATCCCTGCAGAGCACGTGGTCCCCTATTTTGGGCAGTCGCCCCGCTCCTTCCTCCCCCTGCCCACCATCAAGGACGCCTACAAGAGGTTTGAGATCCTCATCACCTTCCGACCTGATGCTGCTGATGGTGAGCCCGTGTGCTCCACGTGTCCTCTGTGTCCCCCTTCATGTCCCCTCCATAATTTTCCCTTCTCGGCTTTCATCCTCCCCTCCCTTCATGCTCTGCTTGCCATCCTTTATCTCCCGTTCTGTATTCATCTGAGAGCCTCCAGTTTATGGGAGGTTTCTCCTCCATTCTGGGAGGATTTTGGAGTCCCCTAGGATGTGTCCCCCACCTCAGGATGGGAACTATCCCATCTGATCCCCTGCCACCCCTCAGGGCTTCTCCTCTACAACGGGCAGCGGAAAAACAGCGGTGCCGACTTCATCTCTTTTGGGTTGGTGGGTGGACGCCCCGAATTTAGGTGAGACCTATGAGTGGGTGCTATGGGAGAGGTGGGAGATGGGTGCCAGCACCCACCCACACCCCGTGTACCCCCAAAAAATCAGGTTTGATGCTGGTTCGGGCATGGCCACCATCCGTCACCCCACAGCGCTGCGGCTGGGCGAGTACCACACGGTGCGGCTGCTCCGCAACCTCACCTGGGGCTCCCTGGGGCTGCAGGGGCACCCCACCGTGAACGGCACCTCCCAGGTACCGGTCTGGGGACCCAGGGGCAGGCGGGGTCAGGGGGCTGGAGGTGGTGCCCACCCTCTTGTGCCTGCAGGGGAGGTTCCAAGGGCTGGATCTGAACGAGGAGCTGTACCTGGGCGGGTACCCCGACATCAGCGCTGTGGCAAAGACGGGGCTCAGCCGGGGTTTCATGGGTGAGTGAGGGGTTTTGGGGGGCACCGGGGTGAGGGGACACTGGGCATCATGTGACAGTTCTGTTCATCTCCACCACCCCACAGGCTGTGTGCGCCAGCTCCGCATCCAAGGGGAAGAGGTGGCCTTTGGGGACATGGACCTCCAGGCACACGGTGTCACCAATTGTCCCACCTGCCAGGACCAGCCGTGCCAGGTGAGGATGGAGGGGAGGAGGTGATGCCCACCCATCCCTGCCCACTGCTGACACCCAGGTCCCCTCTCACCCAGAACGGCGGCGTGTGCCAGGACGATGAGAGTGGCACCTACGTCTGCCGATGTCCCCACGGCTTCACCGGCAGCAACTGCGAGTACTCGCAGGCTTTGCACTGTCACCCAGGTAGGTGACACCACTCCCTCCATGGGGACATCATCCCAGGTCCCTTCAGAATGGTTGCTCATGGCTTCTCACCCCACAGAGGCGTGTGGGCCTGATGCCACCTGCGTCAACCGGCCGGATGGGCAGGGCTACAGCTGCCGCTGCCACCTGGGCAAGACTGGGGAGAGGTGCACCAAGGGTGAGTGACACAGCTGAGGCACAGCTGGCACCGTCTTGGGACATGGGGAGGGGGTGAGGACCTCCCAGGGAGATGGGGACATGGCTGGAACCACCGTGGTGACATGGGGATGGGGTGGGGCTGGGCACCACCCTGGGGATGTAGGTTGGGTCTCACCAAGGGGTGGGGCATTGGGTCCCACTGTAGGGTTGGAGGTTGGGGATAGAGGCTGGGGATGGATGTTGCTCTGAGGATGGAGTTGGAGGTCCCACACACTGTCTGGGATGTGCAGGTGAAGTGGTGAACGTGCCCTCGTTCGATGAGGAGGGAGCCTTTGTCTCGTACCCACCCCTCACCAACGTGCACCATGAGCTGCGGCTGGAGGTTGAGTTCCTGCCGCTGGCACCCGACGGGCTCCTGCTCTTCAGCGCTGGCAAAGCCACCCCTGTGGAGGACTTTGTGGCCTTGGCCATGATTGGTGGTCACGTCGAGTTCCGCTACGAGCTGGGCTCAGGTGGGTAGCACAGGGCAAGGGGCACTGTGGAAAGGCTGCACCGTGGAGCGTGGGAGTCAGGGGGTGACACGGCATTACCAGGGTTCACTGGCGTGAAAGAGGTCCCTGAGCCACAGTGGGGTCCCCTGGCACCATCGGGGTTCCCAAATGTCACTGGGATCCTTGGGAGTCTTTCTGGTCCCCAAGGACTTGTCTCACATCCCTGGTCGTCCCCCAGTGCCCCCCATAACAGCAGCCCCCCTCCTCACAGGCCCGGCAGTGCTGCGGAGCGCAGAGCCGGTGGCCCTGGGCCAGTGGCACCGGGTGACAGCTGAACGGGTTCACAAGGATGGGACACTGGTGGTGGATGATGCTGCCCCGGTGAAACGCTCCTCGCCTGGCAAGAGCCAGGGGCTCAACCTGCGCAGCCCCCTGTACCTGGGGGGCACCGAGCCCCCCCTGCGCCCCCCCACCAACGCCTCCTTCCATGGCTGCATCGGAGAGGTGAGGACCCCCCTGTGTCCCCTCGGAGGGCAGGTGACCCCCTCAGGTGTGGAGGGGCTTCCCCCATACTGGAATGAACATTCTCCCTTGGTGGGAGGGAGGTGACCCCCACTGATGCTCACGTGTAGGGGGAATGACCCCTCTTGGTGTCCCCTGGGGAAGATGACCCAGTTGGCAGTGTCCCCTTGGTTGGGAGGTGATCCTGTTGTTGAGGAGGTGACATGCTTTCATGTCCCCGTGTTGGAGTTCCCTCTCTGGGTTGGTGACACCTGGCTTTGGTGTCCCGTTGGTTGGAAGTGACCCACGTGGCTGGGGGATGGTGCCAATGGTGTCCCCTTGTTGATGTCCCCTCACTGGCGAGGGGACCCTCACTGGCATCCCCTTGGCGGGGGGTGAGCGTGTCCGTGTCCCGGTCGGGAGGTGGTGTCCCAGCAGGGTGGTGACAGGCGCTGTCCCTGCAGGTGTCCATCAGCGGCAAGCGCGTGGAGCTGCGGGAGCAGTTCCTGCGCAGCCGGGGAGTGCGGCCCTGCGGCCACCGCGCCCCGTGTCGGCCGGGGACCCGCGGTGAGAGCTGGGACGGGCTGGGAGAGCGTGGTGTGTGCATGGACTGCATGGGTGTGCTGCACATCTGTGTGTGTGTGTGTGCAGTGTGTGTGTGTGTGCGCATTGAGTGTGTGTGCGTGCACTGACTGCATGGGTGTGCTGCACATCTGTGTGTGTGTGTGCAGTGTGTGTGTGTGTGTGTGCACTGTGTGTGTGTGTGTGTGTGTGCTGACTGCATGGGTGTGCTGCACATCTGTGTGTGTGTGTGTGTGCACTGTGTGTGTGTGTGTGTGTGTGTGTGCTGACTGAATGGGTGTGCTGCACATCTGTGTGTATGCGTGTGTGCAGTGCACGTGTGTTGTGTGTGCATTTGTACATGTGCACTGCACCTGTGTGTGTGTGCCTGGTGTGCCCTGCGGGGGCCGTGCCCAGGTGTGCAGTGCACTGTCACCTGTCACCCCCAGTGACCGTGTCCCACTGTCCCCAGGCCTGCACTGTGAGGAGGAGGAGGAGGAGGAGGAGGCCGAAGGCTGTCACCCCTCCCGGCCCTGCCTGCACGGTGGCTCCTGTGTCCATGGCTCCTGCCACTGCCCCCCTGGACACAGTGGGGCCCGCTGCCAGCACCGTGAGGGGACAGCAAAGGGACATGGGGGGACACCTGGGGACACAGGGCACATGCAGGGACACGGCAGTGAGGGGCAACATGTGAAAGGGCAAGGGGGACATCTGGGGACACCTGAAGATGCAGAGGGACATCTCAGGTCACTGGAGGACACAGGGGGAAAAAGGAAAGACATGGGGACACCCAGGGACACAAGGGACACACACACTTGGGGACATTTGGAAATTCTGAGTGATATTTGGAGAAAGTTTGCAACATGTGGGGACATGAGGGAAACTTGGGAACATGGGGAGACACTTGGGGACATGGGAGGAGGTCACTTGGGGACACTTGGCAAACATTTGGGGACATGGGGGGAACACAGATGGGGACACCTGACAACATTTGGAGACACCTGGGGAACATAGCGGGACACCTGGGGGTACCTGGAGACCCTTGGGGATTGGCTGGGAGCACAGAGGAACACCTGGGTACACGACAGGGAATACTTGAGAATACTTGGGAATAGCTGAAGCCACCTGGGAACAGGGGGGACATCTGGGGACACTGTTGAGGATATGCACTTGGGGAATACTTGGGGATACCTGGGAACATCTGGAGACATCTGGGGACATGGTGGGGGACACTTGGGGACACCCAGGGGATGCATGCCCTCCTTTTACCCCTTCTCCCACAGGCTCAGCACTGGCAGAGCTGGAGCAGGACTGGCAAGAGGGCAGCGGTGGTGGCGGTGGGTCCCTTCACCCATTTCCCCTTTTTCCCCCCAAAATGCAGGTGGGGCCCCCTCCTTCCATCCCCCCTGACCCCCCCATCTTTCCCCAGATGCCCCTGGGCAGTTCAGCGCCGCATTCCAGGACGGATCTTACCTGGCCCTTCCCGGGCACCTCTTCCCTCGCGGGTGGGTGACGCAGGACACCCTGAG